AGGGAACTAAGTAAGTAGAAGGGAGGGAAAGAAGGAAGGAAGGAAGGAAGGAAGGAAGGAAGGAAGGAAGGAAGGAAGGAAGGAAGGAAGGAAGGCAGATGAGAAGAAAGGGAGGCAGGCAGGAAGGAGAGAGGGAGGGAGGGAAGTAAGAGAGAAGGGAAGGAAGCTGTAGTGGCACAATTGTTACAATGCAGTATTTCATACTGACTCTGCCCATTGCCAGCAGTTCAATCCTGACAGGCTTGAGGTTGACTCAGCCTTCTGTCCTTCTGAGGTGGGTAAAATGAGGACCCGGATTGTTGGGAGGCAAGAGGCTGACTCTGTAAACATCTCAGGGACGGCTGTAAAAGCCCCGTGAAGCGGTATATAAGTCTAAGGGCTTCTGCTATTTCATTGTATTAGCTTGGTTATAAAATATAGATAACGTGAGGGCCAGTCAGCCCACGGAACAGGAGTTGCCTTCAGAGGTTACGGGAGCCTTCATCCCTGGAAGCTTTCAAGAAGGGCCTGGACTGATCGCATCTGTCAGAAATGGAGTCGGATCTCCTGCTTGGGTGGGTTGGGGGTTGGACTAGGTGACCCCACAGGGTCCCTTCCAGCTCTGTTACTCTCTTAAGTTAAGAGCAGCAGGTTTATCAGCCTGCCCAGATCTGGGGAGATTTAACCATGTCCTGAGCTAACCGTTTGCTTCCCTCTCCTCTCCAGATGGGAAGCTGAGCCCAAGCCCCCTTCCTGCGTTAGCGGCCCCTTCCTCGCTCCCTTCCAACTCTTCAGCCGCAGTGGACCTGGCGGGGCCCGTGAAGGCATTAATAGACGGCAGCGGAGGTGAGAGCCCTTTGCGGAAGCCGCCTTCCCACAGGAGGGCAAGCGCTTTTCAGCCAGTCAGGTTCTCCATCACACACACCAAGTCAATTGGACTTTCTGGTTTTCCTTTGAAGACGTTTCCCTTCTCCTCCCAGAAGCTTCTTCCGCTCTGACTGGATGGAGGGGAAGGGAAGAATTGATGCTCCTTAGATTTAGATTTATTTTATTTATATGCCGCCCTTTTGCGGGAGGGACTCAGGGCGGCGAACAACTCAAAAGGGGAAAGGGGAAACATAGAACACAATACAAATACCCACACTAGCCAAGAATCACACAACCACACAGGTCGAGAGGGGAGGGGAACTCATCAACG